ATGACAACAGGCCTTTAGAAACTCCATCTAGGACTGGGAACGCAGCTGTCCCAACCCTCATCCACCCAGCTTATGAGTTCCTTGGTTTGGCAGAAGCTCTGAGTTTTCTCCTTGCAGAGTCCGACAACTACACGGATTTTTTGTTTATTTTTCCATTCATTGTTTTGTTGGTTTTGTTTACTCTTTTTTCTTTTTCTTTCTCTTTTCCTTCCCTTGATTTTTGTCCTTTCTACCTTTGTTTTGTTTTTTCTTCTTGATTTCTGCTTCTCATTTCCACCTTCTTTTTACTCTTTTAGTCTCTTTCTCTTTTCATCTTCCCTTTCTGTTTTTTTAGTGTTTTTTTTTTCTTTTCCTTTTCTTTTCTATCTTATTTTTCTCTTGTGTAGCTCTATATTCCTATCCTCTTTTCTCTCTTTAGTTGTTACATTATTTTTTCACTTGTTGCTGCCCATTTTTGTTTCTTTTTTCTCCTTTATTATATTGTTTTCACTGTTGTTTGTTTGCTTGTGTATGTTTTACCTCTTGCACCACCTGATGAGAGATAGCAACACCTGCACATACAATTCAGCCACAACTATATCCTTTCCAGCTCCACCCACTGGACATGACCTAATACCAACTCCTATCAGCCAACACCAGCCAAATCCACCCTAAAATGAGCTGTATGAATGGTGAATGGAAAACAGTGCACACATTTCCATTCTCTAATCACACCCACTAGGAGACAGTTGGTAAGAGCCTTAGAAACACACCAATATACAATCATCAATTAAATACAAATACTACAATGTCTCAAAGACAACAGAAGCTTTTAGCTCATATGGAGAAACAAGAGAAAGTGACTCAGATATTACCAAGATGCTGAAAAATAATTCAAAAGAATAAAAGTTAAATACTTTTAACAGATTGACAGAAAGATCAAGGAAAGTAAGGATAACACAGAAAAAAACTTTGAAATTTAGGAAAACAGTACTAGAACAAACAAAATAAATGCAAATTTTGAAGCAGTACAAAGCCTGCAAACAAATCCAGAAGATTAATACTGAGATCTCAGAAATTGACGGTATATTGAAAGGGCAAAGGAGTAGATTTGAAGCAATGGAAACCCGAATTAATGGCCTTGAAGATAAAACTCTCAGTACTAGTAAGCAAGGAGAATAATCTGATTTAAAAAAAAAAAAAGGATGAAAAAATCAGAAGAAAGTTTGAGATTTATATGGGACATGTAACTTACAGATGACTGGAATTCTAGAACCAGAAGAAGCAATAAAAAGAATGGAGAAAATAGTTGAAAAGTTTCTGAAAGAAAACTTTCCTAACATCATGCAAGAGGAGAAGATAACCATTCAGGAAGCTTAATGAACCCCAAACAGGGTAGACCTCAAAAGAAAATCACCAAAACATATCATAATCAAACTTCCCAAAACCAAAGACGAGGAAAAAATTAAGAGAACAGCTCTGAAAAAATAAAGTTACCTATAAAGGCGAACCAGTAAGACTAAGCTGTGATTTCTCAGCAAAAGCCATGCATCCAAGAAGACAATGGGATGGCATATACAAAACTTAGAAACAAAAAAGTTGCCAAGCAAGAATCATATACCCTGCAGAGAACAAACAGGATGGCAGAGAGGTTGGAAGTGCAGTGAACAGCTCCATCAGCAACAACACAGAATACCGGACCAAGAAGGCTCAGGGAATGGTGCCAGAACTCTGATCCACATGTAAAGGAATATGTAGAAGGTTGGAAGGCTTACACTAGGGGAATTTGTAGCAGAAACAAGAAGTCCATTGCTTTCTAATCCAAGACGCTCAGCTGCTCCATGAG